CACCATACACACATATATATATATATATATATATATATATATATATCATATTCATGTGTGGAATTGACTAGATATTTAAATAAAAATAAATATAGGATGATGTACATTCAGAAATGATAATAATAATATGGGTGTTATTCACCAAATACAATCAGATGGGAAATAAGACGAGTGTGTTTTTAGTCAAAATAAGTAACTTGTTGGAATGCTGTGATGTACTTGAATTGAAATCGAAGTTTAAGATTATTTATTATCCTCCTCTGATTTGAGTGACTGACTGACTGGTGGTAATCATATCTTCCATATCTCTGGTATTTGAGTTGAGTCATTTCTGTTGCATGTGTTGTGTTGGGTGTGGACTCGATGAACCAGACAGGATTCAGTGATCAATCTCTGTCTCCAACTACCCATATTACTTTTTAGAATGCTGACTCTGTCCCTTCCGCCCTATTGTGTGCTTGTATGTTAATGCATGCAGTGCTATAGCTGAGTTTTTTTCTAAATTACTTATCTTTGTAGGATCAATCATTCTAACCTTAGCTAAATTCTTATGCTCTGACAATCTGACTACCCCTGACCTACTAGTTCGCCGTATATAGTTGACCTAACTCACAGTCATTGCAAGGTATTTTGTAAATTATATTATTTTGTTTAATTGGGTCCATCGGGTCTTTTAGCCTACAGAGCTTGCGTATGTATGAGTTTGTAAATTTGAATGCCACCCTAATTCCTGCTTTATCAAGAATCCTATGTAGGGTATCAGATGTGTGTTCCTTATTTGGTATACCAGTTAATGCCTTATGTTCTCTCTTATTTATGTTATCATGACTAGTTCCACAGTTATTTTTATTTTGTTTTTGGTCTTTACTGATCTTCCTAATGAATTTTATAAGATATTTAGTTATTTGACACCAACGCTTCTTCTGTCTGTTTTAATTCATCATTTAGGGCAATTAATCGGTTTTCTAGACCATTAACTAAGCCTGCCTACACAGACAGTTAACGAATGAGATGAATTAAAGTCTAAATATCTATTAGAATGAGTTGATTTTCTGTACACACTAGTGTGTAGTTTGCCTTCTTCTATTCATTTTATCTTACAATCTAACATCACAGCTAATTCTCCTTGTTCAATTTCTGATTCAAATGTGAATTTTATTCCTTCAACTTGTGAGTTTATATGTGTCAAGAAGCTAGAGATGTGTTCTGTTTTTAACACTGTGAAAGTGCCATCCACATATCTCCACCATATTATCTTTGGAGTAGGATTAAATGTATTGAGGGTACTATTTTCCCAGCTGTCCATAAATATATCAGCTACGATAGGGGTTATTGGTTATCCATCCCATTGCTACACCTTCTGTTTGTCTATATATTTTGCCTTGGAACTTAAAGATAGTAGATGTGAGGCATAACTGAATTCCTAAAATAATTTCTTCGATGGACAGCTTTGTCCTATGACTGAGTTCCGGATCCGCAGTTAATTCTTTTTTAAATGCTTCTAAGGCCATATTAACTGGTATATTAGTATAAAGACTAGTTATATCAAAGCTAACCATCGTTTCATCATTCGCTAGTTGGATGTCATTTATTTTATTCTTCATCTCATATGAATTAGTTAGTCTAGAGTTTGAATGATTTCTGTTGGAACATAGTATTAAAGCTAAGTGTTCTGACTATTCATATGTCGGTATATTTCTGAAATCTACTATTGGTCGTACGGGATAACCTTGCTAATGTATTTTTATGGTACCATACATTCTACTAACATTATTAATTTTAGGCATTAAATTAAACCATTTAGACTCACTCAGAGACGGCTTCATTCTGCGTATTAATTCCGCTGTAGATTTCTTAACCTTATTCATTATTGTATCTACAGGCTTCTTAATTTCCTCAAATGGACCCGTCTCAATATGTTCAGCGACTTTCTTTATATAATCAGATTTATCATCATCACCAGTTAATATTACACAACACTGTGCGATTTATCAAAATAAAATCTTATCCACAGTGGAGTTATACTCCTACCACGGTGACCAAGTTTTAAACTTTTATTAACACTTAAAAACTTCATGAACAGACGCCATGTTTTGATTTGACCACGCCTAACTCCTCTCCATTCTGATCTCATGTTTGCTAATATTGCTCAATAAGAAAGTTAGTAGATCGATACGCGTAACACATATCTTAACCATCTTAATCGATATAGCTTCACACCCTCATTGATGAACTGACTCAACCTTGTTATTCTTAGCACTACACCTAATGGTCATTATTACTCAACACTTAATATGCAAACATTTATAGTCAAAGATAGCCAGCTTCTTGATATCATCGACTTTCTCATGGTCATAAAGAAGGACTTAGTGGACTGCTCTGCCTTACGTGTACGTCCTTCTATTGATGCCTAGATATCACATCTACACCGTAGAGAGGATGACACAAGTGTTTGTAAATGTCACACGAGGCTTTTATATCTGCGGCAAAATTTTGTCACTAGTGAGTCGATTAGGAATGATACTCAGGAAGGCTTCGTGTGCTCTTGGGAGTGTGTGGGCGGTTGTTACTTTCCGGCTGCCCACACTGTGGAAGTTGACTAATTCTTCAGGTATTCTTCATCAGTCTGAAACAGAGAGGGGATTAGTGTTGCGTGACCGCATAGCCCAGCAAACAACTGCTTGAGGCCGGTCACACAGGGCCTGTATGAACTGGTTTCTGGGATTGGTTCTGTATTAGTAAACTTACCGCCGGTTACGGACCACCGAAGGGTTATTCAGGATGTACGATTTTCGGGGTCAACCTTTACTAACCCCCTTCCTCGGAGTGGAGAGACAATGTAGTTGGCATGCTAGTCATCTAAGGAAAACATCCCACTGCTGTTACACCTCTGTTTCCCAGCAATACGACTTCGCCCACAGACCCTCCAGCACAGTGTAAAAAAAATTCTTACACTAAGCCAGTAACTGCTTTTAGTCTAATCGCTATCCTAACAACCTTCCTGGCATGGTAGGACCTGCAGGAACGTTGGTTCCAGCCAGTGTAGCTTGTTGGGTCATTGCGATATGCGCCAGCCCGACCACCGGTCAAGGTAGCAGCTATCGGTCAGGAGTGAGTCGATTAAGGCTGATGCAACTTCCCAAATAAATAAAATTATCAACACATTCAACCATTTCACTACTTATTTATTTATAATGGGACTAATCTAATTATAGATAAGATTTATTTTGATAAATCGCACAGTGTTTACAGTTATATGAACTGATGACGTTTCGAGCACAAACTATTGCTCATAATCATATCTAATCTAATTTATAATAATCTTGTAATAACAGAAGATAACAGCCGGGCAACAGATTGTTTATTAAGAAAATCAACAGATATTTATAGATTTTTATGTACATTATTATTAGCGCTATTATTAGCAGAGAAGCCAACGTCTTCTGATTGGTTATTTTTCCGCTAAAGAAGTGTATATAGAGAACCTACATCAACTGACTGTCAGTATACTCATTTTTTTCAGCTTCGTGCCCTTGAAATACAAACACAATGTGATAAAGTGTTTGGTCCACCACAGAGCAAGAGAAATCTGCTGGAACGAATGTCTTGATGAGGAACTTGATAATATTAAACGGTTGCTAAGTGAAAACGGTTCTCCAGAAAAGTTTATTGATAAGAATATGAATCTAAAATCAAAGCAACCCAAGGTACCAACAGTTCCGAAAAACGAAGGCCTTATTTTTACAAATTCAGTTCCTCGGGGACAACATCAGCGAGATACTAATACAGCGCCTTAGAAATGAGGCGGTAAAAAGAGCATTCCCCGCTGCCGAATTACGCTGTGTCTTCAAAACCGCTCCTCTTTTGCATTCGGGAGTAAAAGACAAACTGCCTAATTTCGCCTCTTCCATGTGTATCTACCAATTTAACTGCTCTTGTGGAGCCAGTTACATAGGTCGTACAATTAGGCGTGTTTCTCATCGTATTTCCAAACATCATCCTGCGTGGTTGGTTAAGTAAAGGACAAACCAAATCTATCCGTAGTGCTATTTTATCTCATCTTGTGAACACAGAACACAAGATTGATGTCAACGAGGTGGCTTTCAAAGTCATTTACCGCATACCAATAAATCTTAACTTCGCCTTAACAGTTCGTTTACTAAATATTGCTAAGGCTGGCTGTTGGGGTCTACATTAAGAAACCTAATTTATGTGTCCAAAGAAGGTAGTTAGCTCAGACACTATCCCTACCCACTTGGTCATCTAGTTTCGAATGATCCTGAATTTTTGTGGAATTTTTCTAATTTTAGTTGATATTCTATTTGTTCCTATATCTTTGTTATTATTATAATTTAAGCATCTTTAATGAACTGTAATTCCATTGATCTCACTTAACAAATCGATATTATTTAAGAAGCACTTATATTGTTATTGACTACTATTCTAGAATGTTCTATGTATATAGATATATACATATATAATTGTAGAGCCAGAAGAGGAGGAAATTGACGAAAAGGATATTCTTTGCTCAATTATTTTGTGTTCCATAGACGTCTGAATACATATTTTTGCTATATTCTGTATTGATTGTGACCGTTTCTCAGAAAGTTAAGCCATATATATCTGCGAATCGTATTTGCACACTAAGTCTGCTGTGATTGGTTGTTGATTTCCCCAAGGTTAAGCTTTGTTATTGTGTTTTTTTCTCATGACCCTGATTCCGGATGTAAACACTGTCTGTCTGTCTGCTATCTGTCTGTCTGTCTGTTTTCGACATAGAACTTTGCACAAATGTGCGGCATTTCAAGTCGCCACACTCCGTGTAGCACGCGAAGATGTAAACACTAAAGTAAATTGTTGTGTTTACAATTTTTGTCTTGTTCACAGCCAGCTCTCACCACACACACACACTCTCTCTCTGCCTCCCTCACTACCTGTCCACAGATACATATATATTCACTTGTCTAATTCTATTATTTTTTGTTGTTGTAAATCTCTAGATACTACTTAACGCATACATCAAGTGAAGTGAACACAGATTCCGGTGATTCTCTCCTCCCTGGTAAATTTTATGATGCATGTAGATTAACCGATAAAAAGTCAAGAAACAATAATGAAAGGTTAAATGGGAAATATAATAAGAAAAAGGGTAGAAATACTTCAAAACTGGATACAACAATAACGACAACAAACGATGAAACAATGATTTCAAGTAAACAAATTGTTCCTGTTAATAATTTTGTAAGCTTTGCTTCTGTTTTTTTAAAGCATTTTTTGTTGTTATTATTATTACTATTATTATTACTTTTTACTGTTCATTTCTTGCGTTCCGAGCGCCAATATAGAGGGATTTAGCTGATACGTCTCAATTCCACTCGATTCTCTGCAATCAGCTTTAGCTGACTTTACGACTGCTCACAAGTTTTCATTTGTGCGTCGGTGGCGCAATGGTTAGGACTCTCTCGCCGACCACGCACACGGTCCGAGGTTCGAACCCCTGCCACCGACGCACACCTGATATCTATGGTCGGCCTGCAAAATTTGGGCTACCGATATCCATGCTGAAAATTCCATACTTGTACCAAAAATACAGTGTGGAATCAAGCTGTAATAAATAAAAAATAAAAAAATTTAGATATGATGGAGGAAATCTGTAGCTCAGGTGAATGGTTTATTTGTGAAGCTTGCATTGCCTCACCACTAGGCAACATCTTCAGTGCATATTTCAATTTGATGAAGTGAGCTGTTAGATTTCTCCACGAGTTTATTAGTCATTTCTCCTGGCGGGTGACTTTGAACAACGTCGTAATTGGTTGTGTTTTGTGTGTTTTCACACCCTCTAGGCTACTTATATTGATGTCGGTGATGATTGTTTCCTTGACCTGAATTTTTGACTCTTTGTGTACAGAGTACCTCTTGGTGTAGCACACGAACCAACGAAATCACTTCACTCAGCCAGTTCTATGTCAATCAAAAGACTCAACAGCGAAAAAAGATAAAACCAACATCATCTACAAAATAAGTTGCGATGATTGCGAAAAACACTACATTGGCCAAAGTGGTCATCCCCTTCATTTTCGTATCCATGAATATAAACTAGCCGTCAAAAGGCATGGCATCCACCCCCTCACGGACATCAATTCGACTGAGACAACGTTCAAGTATTAGACAGAGGGAACACCAAGAATGCCAGAGAAATTTTAGAAGCCTGATATTCCAGTGAATCGTCAATCAGTGTAGACACACCGAGATAGACAAAATTTACCAACCGATAAGTAGGAAATTTCACTCACAAAGGGTTCAAGTTCAAGTCAAGGAAACAATCAACATCAATACCAATACAAGTAGCCTAGAGGGTGTGAAAACACACACAAAACACAACCAATCACGTCTAAGACCACCAGGAGAGATGACTGATAAACTCTTGGAGAAATCTACCAGCTCACTTCATCGCATTGAAGTATGCGCTGAAGTTGTTGAATCTACTATCACTTACAACTTGTCCAGAAATACCACCAGCAGCACTCACAGAACTACCCTAGTGAACACCATTCATGTGACGAAAGCTGAAATCTTGAATGCAATCAAGCTAATCAAGTCCAGCCGGATAGGCAGCAGAATCAGACGGAATTCCTCCTGAAGCACTGAAAATGGACCTAGAGATTGCGGTGGATAAGCACATGTCACTATTGCAAAAAAGTTTGGAAGGAAGGAAAGATACCTACTGATTGAAAGAAAAGCTACCATGCCAAACTACCAAACAAGGGCAACTTAGGCCTGTGCAAGAACTTGCGCGAAATCATGCTCTTGTCCACTCCAAGAGATATACTGAGTCACACCATTCTGGAGAGAATAAAAGATGTACTGGATGCAAAATTCCTGCCGGAACAAGCGGGATTCAGAAAAAGTGAATCATGTACGTATGAAGTGACAACTCTTTGTGTCGTCATTGAATAGAGCGTAGAATGGCAGTCAAATCTCTGCCTCAACTTTAGTGTTGAGTTGTTGACCGTGGAGTAATTTGGAAACTACTTCAAGACTGTGGAGTGCCCCAATGATACGTGTCAATGGGTCCACAATGGAAATATCATCGAGGCGTTTTGAACTGAAGACAGGAGTAAGACAAAGCTACCTGCTGTCATCCACGATGATACTCCAAATTGTGGCGAACCAGATTATGCGTCAGACTGTACGTAGGGATTGAAAAGACAGGAGTGCATTGGACCGACAAAAAGACTCAAAAAGATCTGGATTTCGCGTGTAGAGGATTTATGTCTAGTCTCTCGTAAACTTGACGACTTACAGTGGAAAACCATTAAACTGGTTGAAGAAGTAGTCGCAGGACAAAACTCCAAGTGAACATTGAGAAAGTGGAGGTGATGAAGGCCAACCAACCACTAACAAAAAGCACCAGTTAATATCAATAGGAGAAATTTGATAAAGGTCACTCCCTCCACTTATCTAGAAAGTATCGTTTCAACTACAGGCAATCGGCACTAGCGAGAATGTCAAAATCAGCCAGAATTGGAAAGGCAAGACAGACATTCATCACTCTGAAACCAGCTTGGAAATCTTCTACACTCAGTAATATAAAACAAACTTCGAGTTTTCAACACCAATGCCAAGTTAGTCAGTGCTTCTATACGGGTGACAAACTTGACCAACAGGCTACTGCAGACTTTTATCAAAAGCTGCCTTCTCTAAGTCTATACTGAAGTTCAGATGGCCACGAACAATTGGTGATGAGAATTTCTGGAATGTACGTCGGTGGCACAGTGGTTAGGACTCTCGCCGACCATGCACATGGTCCGGGGTTCGTGTCCACGCCGACGCACACTTGATATCTATGGTCGGCCTACGAATTTTGGGCTACCGATATCCACGCTGAAAATTCCATACTTGTACCAAAAATACGGAGTGGAATCAAGCTGTAATCAAAAATAAAATAAATAAATAAAGAAGACTGAAAAGAATAAAACAAAAAGGAGAAATGTCTTGTTGAAACTTTATTTTCCACTCGAAACCCATGAGAACAATGAAATAGCAAATAATATCCAACAATTGATTTTTGTAATCATTTGCATCAGTTTGCATTCGAACAGAATTCTAGTGATGTTTTTCAAGTTTGTGAAATTATGATACGGAAATATTATTTTATGTTATTGGGATATGATAAATTTTGTATCCTTCCTGTGAATTTGTAACAACAGAAGACAAGGGCCAGGCAACAGATCCTTTATTAAGGAAGTCAACACGTATTTATATATTTTCATGTACATTATTATAGATTATTTAAGCAAACAAACACAGTCCTCTGATTGGATGCTTCTCATTGAAAGTTAACATTGCATCTCTTTGTGTTGCTGTTTCTTGAATGTCAGATCATCTATATGTTAAATGTATCTGCCTACGCAAAGTCTTTGTTATCATTTTTTTCACGACCAGTATTGGGGACACAAAAATCGACGTAAATTAATGTCTACCAATTTGGCTAGCAGCCAGCTCTCACCACACTCGTTCCCCCGTCAATGACTTCCGACTGAAGTTGGTTCGGTCTGCTCGGTTCTAACGGCTTTGTTCGTTTGTCTTGCTTTCTAGAATCTCGGCGCCCGTCGATGTTCACCTGTTTCTCTTTGTTTGCCATTCCGATTGTGTCTGCGTAACCCCTTCTCAAAGTGACCATATATATGGTCCTTCCTACTTTAAAAACTGTTTGCCTGACCCTGTCGAACATTTGTTGGTATTTCGCCTCACACTTTCATATGCTGCTTTCGCCCGACCTCCCAGCAGCGTCCCAAGTAACAACCTCATCGCTGACAGATCTTGAACGCCACTCAACTACACAGAAGCCTCGAAGTCCTGCCCGAAGATTCATATGTCTCCATCAAAAACTGCAGGGCATAGGCTTTACATTTGTCGGTAGGCAGTGACACCAAGGGCCAGGCAACAGATTCTTTATTAAGGAAGTCAACACATATTTGTAGATTTTCATGTACATTATTATAGATTATTGTTAGCAGAAAAACACAGTCTTCTGATTGGTTGTTTCTCACTGAAAGTCAATCTTTCATCTTTTTGTGGCTGTTTATTGAATGTCAGATCTCATATATATATATATATATATATATATATATAAATATATATATTCGAGAACCACCGAAAATCAAGGGATACTAGACAACAGTTTCGTCGTAGACTTGAACTCTTCAGTAGTACGCACCTTATGATCTCACTAAGGGACGGAACTGCGTACTTTCAGGTTAAGACATCCGCTCGTTGAGCAGTGAGCTGGTGAATTCTAACTTTTTGTGATTCGTGATATATAAAATATATATATATATATATATATATATATATATATATGGCACCGTTACTAGTCAGTATTATCAGTAAGTATCTGTCCTCATACCCAACTTGACAGACTCTACTGGTCATGACGTCCGACGTTAATGAACGATGGATCAGTTTTTAGGTGTTGGTTTGCAAGTATCTGATTGGTTTCAGGTCATATCGAGTATTGGCATCAGTCAGCGAACCAATAAAAACCAAGGGATATTGGACAGTTGTTTCGCCCTGGTTTAAGACTCCTCAGTAGCATGCATCTATGACTCTCTAGTTTATAACCTAACTTGGAGTTTCTACAAAAGTGGACATGAAACATCTCAGGCAGTTGTTATTCCTTATATTTCATTATTGTTTTGTTACTTTTCAGAAAACATCACATCCTGCTATGTGTATTCGACGACCTGTTCTTTGTATCCAGCTGGAACTTTGTCAGTATAATTTAGCCGATTGGTTACAATACAGAAATAATGTATACCGTAGTGCATCTACTATTCCAAGTAATCGATTAGATATCCCTCCGTTTACCACATATGAAACAATGCAACGTGCTCCAGTACGTTGGTTAATGGATCAAATGGCATCAGGAATTGCTTATCTACACTCTGAGAATGTGATTCATCGTGATCTTAAAGTGAGTTAAGACTTGGGAAATTATAAATTTAGGGGAATATATGTGTTATATGGCTAAAGTCATGTGGCAGATTTCGTGCTTATGCTGTACTCATCAGTAAAGCCTATTCGTAGATAGGAGATGTGAAGTTGAATACTAGTGGTTACAGGAAACCCACACATTCAAACAGATATTTAGACTTCCGGTCATCCCATCCTATGTCAGTAAAAATAAGATTGGTGAAATGTTTAAGTGATAGAGCATAAAAACTAGGTAGTACAAAGGAAAATCTAAGACAGGAAGTGAGGCATATAAGAGAAGCCTTGAAACTTGATAATTACCATGATAAATTAGTCAGAAAGTTTGTAAGGAAATGTAAAAATAAAATTAATAATGATAGTAGTGATAGTGACAATAATAATAGCAATATTAATGACGACATGCATACCGAACATGCACAGGATAATGACAGCACCAACAATAGGTAATCTAAATCATCAGTAAAAATTCCATGCAAGAAAGGAACCTCGGAAACCTGACTCAGAATTCTTAACAAGGCAGGAATAAAAGTGGCTGTTGATCAAACCACTCGCAAACTCAATTAGAAACAAGCTTTGTCGGTTAAAGGATCAATTCTGTGGAGCCATTAAAACAAAACAATTTAGTTTATCTAATACCCTTCGGGAGTGATTGTCAGGTGAAATAATTAGGTCAAAGTAGTAGAACAGGTGCAGTCAGACTAGCGGAGCAAAAAAGCCTAGCAGCGAAATCTAGATCAGTCGACCCGAATAAGATAAGAAATCTAGAGAGTAGTTCAGCCATAGCAATCACTAAATGCAATTACATACAACCATACAATAGGATAGGTGGGATAAGATGACAGTTTTAAAATCTAATATAACAAGGTGGAGGGAGAGATTGATAATGGAAGCTTTGTTTATCGAATCAACTGCAGCTACGTGTAATAGGAATGATTCAATACCTGTCCAGTTGGACATCTGGAAAATTCTACTACCGCAACGACGATAAGTAGGAGAGAACAAAGAAAACTATAAAACTCTAGTTTCGAAGTCGTGTGATGATAATTGATGATATAATTATGAAGAACAATAAATTTTGTTCGAAACGTCATCGAGTAAATAATACTGTTTCACTGTGTGTGTGTGTGTGTGTGTGTGTGTGTGATACATCTAATAAACAAACCAATATGGAATTTATTCGTAGTAGCCTCAAAGGCACTGACTTCCCTTTAGAAATACAACTTCCTATCACCTAAGACTGTAGTTGCAAACGTCTCCACTAAACTACTTAGATCCGAAATAGCACAAAGCTTAGGTTGTAGGTTCCCAGCTGTATTCATCAAGTCATTCAACATCTGTTGCAATCGCACTTCTAGTCTAATTACCATGTTAGAACTTAGCTACCTAGAACATAGATATTTTATATTCTAGTTTATGAATCATACAGAAGGTCGGAGCAGATCCGCTCACAAAATTTCTGATAAGAGGGGGTGGGGGGAGAATTAAGCATGTGCTACTGAAGCAATTTTGTAGGCAGTATATTGTATTTGTGCAAGAATATTGAATAGCAGAAGGATGAATTAACTGACGAAGAGGTGGAATAAAAGATCTTTACGAAAAAAAAAACACCACAGGGAGACCAAAAAAGCACAATACAAAAAACCTGTGCAAATAAAGATTCCAATCTAAAGTTTTCGCATTTTACCAAGGGAAAACTTCTGCCGTCACACCTCAACCATTAATTAGCATTCATCCAAATAAGATATAAGAAGAGTTAATCATTAATTACAACATTACATGACAGTTATACTGTATTTTGAATCGTTATTAGTTAAATGATAACACTTCGAGGTTAACTAGCCGTGTGTTCTTCGTTAATGCGCGGACTAGGGGGAAGAATCTAGTATGAACACTTCATTCTGTCGAGGATTGACCAGCAAGAGATACTCAAGCATCTCCGTGAGTTATGTTGTTCTTATAGGTACATAGTACTGATGAACCACGAACTGGGACAAAACCACCATTCACTTCTTTGTAAAAATGATAATTCCATGAAACTAGCCTATGTTTTCTTGTTTTCTTATATTTTATATTTCTGATAGCCCGAAAATGTTCTAATCTGTGGACCACCGCTACATGCGATTACAGATATCCCGTGTACATGTACTACTGGCAAGCAATTACATAACTACCTGTCAGAAAATGCTACTACCACCACTTCTACTAATGTTAATAGTAATGAATTCCATTCATCCTCTGTAAAAATGAATTGTTATCATCAATTAATTGTAAAAATATGTGATTTTGGTTTGGCAAGAATATTATTAGATGATTCCATTCATATGAAAACATATCATGTTGTTACAAAAAATTATTCAGGTAATTTCCCCTCCTACCTACTCCACACTTTTATTGGATAATAATTTTTTTAATCTATATCTATTGTAAATGTTGTTGAGTTTATATTTGGATCTGATTTATTCTGAGTGTGATCACTGACTGACTGACTGACTGACTGACTGACTGACTGACTGACTGACTGACTGACTGACTGACTGACTGACTGACTGACTGACTGACTGACTGACTGACTGACTGACTGACTGACTGACTGACTGACTGACTGACTGACTGACTGACTGACTGACTGACTGACTGACTGACTGACTGACTGACTGACTGACTGACTGACTGACTGACTGACTGACTGACTGACTGACTGACTGACTGACTGACTGACTGACTGAGTGGTTTCAGCATAGAACTTTGCACCGATGTGCATCATCAGTTTTAGTCGCCATGCTTCACTCAGCACACAAAGCCAAAGAAGAAAGTAAAAGGAAACGCAAAACAGAGGATTTTAAGCCATATCACCAATTGTCTCCAACCATTGGTGTTTATCATCCCGAGGACCCCAGCCTATCAGGAAGTCTCCACCTCCCTACGTGGCTGGCTGCCTGTCTGGCTTAAACGAACTCTTTTGGATTTCATTGACTGATGAAGCCATGTTTTGGTTTGACCACCACGACTAGCTTTCTATTTTCCAACCTGTTTCATCCTATGTGAGGCAGCTAAAAATGCCCGTCGGTTTAGGAAGATGAGGGCTAGGGTAAGTATGCGTAACACATGTCCTAACCACCTCTCTTAATCGATGTAATCTCACGGCCTCGTCGATTGATTTTCCCTCCTTATCTAGCACTCGATCGATACCTAACCTCAATATTGCTCACTCTATTATACCATTCCGCACTGAAGATAGAACGCAGACACCTATGACCGAAGACAGCTAATCTTTTCATGTCTTCCACTCTCAATGGCCAGGTCTCACAGCCATAAAAGAGGACAAAGCGAAGTGCTGAGTAGTACACAAGCCCTTTGGTCGATAGCCAGTCGGATATCATGTCTACACCAAAGATGGTATAATTTGGCATATACGAAACGAGCCCTCTGTATCCGTGCTGAGATTTCGTCAGCGTTGGCTGATGCACCTACCCAAACAAGTGAAGTGGTCAACATGCTCTACCACTTCACTTCCTATTTCTAAACTAGGTAGGAGTCAGTGTAGTCCAGTCCTGTAGCATTATCTTACATTTTGCGGGCGTTTTGTCACAGATTAATATCAATTATGGAAGCACTGAAAACCAGGGAGCGCTGAATAGCTAATTCGTCCCACTTTTGGACTTTTTGGCAGTATGGTCCCCTGTGGGTTCGAACCCAGAACTTTCTGGTCACAACACAAACTCATGGATCATTTGCCCACTGGAATCCGACTGAATGACTTATAAGTTCCAACTTCTACCAATTCGTGATTTTACTGTGACCACTGACCAGTGTCATTGGCAGGTAGTTGTCCTCATGCTCGACTTGGTATTTTTTTTACTATCTCCACTTTACAGTATGAACATAAGACCTTCCAATGTTTAGATCCTTTGACAAGTAGTAACAAGGCATAGATTGAACCACTGTCGCCTCTTTCCAGCCATGCTGAGTAGTGTTCTCAAATACATTTTGAAAGAATGTGCATAGAACGACCTATGTGCCCAGCTCTACAGGAACAAGTGAAGTGATATATGCTCACACTTGAGTGGTCGTATGCTGGAGTTTGTCCTTCAAATTGTTTGAAAGCAGCGAGTGGCCAGAGAATATCATTCTTAACGTTTCTGCAGGTAAGGTCTTCTTTTGGGGAACTAGATATTCTCCTCCTTGAGATGTCTGAGGCTAAGTCCTCCCTCTTGAAGTTGAATTTCATATACAGTATTTTCTTTGACACTGAATTGTATTTCGTCTCTCATTTCAGTGTTTAACAACGCCTAACTTCATTTGTATTCAGAGAAGTTATGATTGGTACAGTCCACCAAGTTTGGTTCATGAACCAATGTTAGTCAGGTAGAAAAATGCAAACCAAGGGGTACTGGAGAGCTGCTCTGTCACAGTTTGGGACTCTTCATCAGTGCGCACGCATAATCATACTAGGGGTCAATGGGACCAAGCTCTTTGATGATCACCATTCAGGCTCCAGTTCAATGACCTGTGAATTCTGGCTTTACCAGCTGGTGATATAAGGTTACCTTTACTACTGACTTTGATGTGAACATCACTTCACCCTGGCATGGCATGGTGGACACCACTGGTGACAACTTCTCATCACAGCTTTAGGACATCCATCCAGTAGCCATCAATGAGCTGGAGATTGATAGGTAAAATATGCGATCTATGGGGACTTGGATCAATTTAATTTTGATTATTAGATTTCGCCGTTATTTTCCGTTATTTTCCGATTTTGAGGGGAGCAACCCAAAAAGTCGCTTCTTTCTAAACTTTAACATAATGTAGTCATTCCTTTCTCAGACGTGAGGCTAGCAACCCTACCCTGTAAAGAAAATTACTAGAGAAACTTCAGTACGATGAACCTCTTTGCACCAAAAGAAAAGTCTGTGTGGGTACATGGAACGTACACACTATGTACGAGACCGGGAAAGCTGCCCAGAATCCCAACGAGATGAAAAGATACGGAATACAAGTACTGGGAATATGTGAAAGCAGATGGAATGGGAATGGACTCACCAAATTGTCAACGGGTGAGTCAGTGATCTACTCCGGTCACCCAGAAGATAACCACACGCACACCGAGAGCGTGGCTATCATGATGTCACCAACGGAAACAAAGGCCCTGATGCAATGGGAGGCGATCTCACCCAGGATAATGACCGCCAGATTCAACTCCAAAGGAAGGGAAGTGTCAATCATACAATGTTATGCACCCACAAACAACGCAGACCTCGAAAAGAAAGAAGAATTCGACAGGCAACTACAGGCAACAATGGACAATACTCCAGCTGGCGACATTAAAATACTAATGGGAGACATGAACGCCTAACTGGGACCAGACAACACAGGAAGGGAACTCATCATGGGTAGAGAAGCTCTCGGAGGAATGAATGAAAACGGAGAACTCTTCGCCGACTTCTGCGCCTTCAACGAACTATTTTTTTTTTTTTTGGTTACAGCTTGATTCCACACTGTATTTTTGGTACAAGTGTGGAATTTTCAGCGTGGATATCGGTAGCCCAAAATTTGCAGGCCGACCATAGATATCAGGTGTGCGTCGGCGTGGGCTCGAACCTCGGGCCATGTGCATGGTCGGCGAGAGTCCTAACCACTGTGCCGCCGACGCAGTGATTGGTGGCAGTGTATACAAGCACAAAGATATCCACAAGGCTGCATGGGTGTCACCAGTTGGGAGAACCAAAAACCAAATCGACTTCATCTCAATGCTGCTCAAGAAAGTGGAGGCGCAGCCTACTGGACACAAAAGCAAGAAGAGGAGCAGACGTTGACTCAGACCACTATCTCGTACAAGGGACAATCCAAATCAAATTAAAAGCTTGCAGGGAAACAGGAGCTGCAGATAGACCAAAATCCAAGTTCAACACTCAAAAGCTGAAGGACCAGGCTACAAAGGACATCTTCATTGCAAGCATAAAGGACAAAGCCGAGATACAAATCAACACCAGCGAAAAGGTCAGCGTCGAAAAGCACTGGAACAACTTGAAAACGGTATGGAGTCAAACCTACATAGAAATTCTAGGCAGAAAACAGAGACAGGACAAACAGTGGCTCACTACGGACACTTGTGTTCGACAGCTGTGCTCACCCTGAAGAAGCTTGGAAAAATATCCAGGCAGCCATAGATACAGCTGTAAAAGCTGTGAATAAGGTAAACCCAAAGGTGAGTAAAAACCACTGGATCTCCACCGCCTCATCCGAACTGATAGATGCTAGAAGACTTATTCCGGCGAGCTCCGAATTCAATGAGGAGCGAAAGCTGCACAAGAGGAAACTTACGAAAAGTCTCCGCAAGGACCGTGAACAGTGGTGGGCGACAAAAGCCAAAGAGATGGAGAAAGCTTTGAGGATAGGCAACACCAGGCAACTCTTTGGACTCATCAGGGAAACGGGTGGGAGAAGACAAATCATTAGTGAGACAATCTCGGAAAAAAATGGCACTATAATTAGCTCACAGGATAGACGACTGGATCGTTGGAAAGAGCATTATGAGGAGCAGTTTAATTTGCCCACAGCCACGCTCAACCTTCCGAGCATCCAACACCTCCCTGAATGGGATATAGATACAGGTCCTCCGTCACTAACTGAGGTTACTAAAGCTGTCACCAATCTGAAACTAGGCAAAGCAGCGGGACCTGATGGAATGACGCCAGAGGTATTTAAGTACGGTGGAGACAGCTTACTGTCCGGATTAACTGAGGTACTAGGCAGCGTCTGGGAATCAGAAGAAGTCCCATCGGGTTGGTGTAAGTCACTGATTATCCCCATATACAAGAAGGGAGACAAGTCTTCCTGTGATAATCACAGAGGGATTAGCTTGACTAATATAGTATCTAAAGTCTTAGGCTCAATAATCATGCGTAGACTGAGTGGTGCTCGGGAAGCACAAACACGAGAGAGCCAGGCAGGCTTTAGACCAGGAAGAGGGTGTATTGATCATATCTTCACCCTCCGACAGATTCTAGAACATAGGCATTCCTACCGGCGTCCAACAGTCATTATATTTCTTGACCTAAAGGCAGCATTCGACTCTGTCGATCGGGAAGTTCTCTGGAGATGCTTGGCTGTAAAGGGAATTCCAAGAAAATATATTGCACTGATTAAGGCACTCTATTCGTACTCATACAGCCAGGTGAGGGCTTACGGCGAGCTGTCATCTGAACTGATGACGACCAGTGGTGTCCGTCAAGGATGCCCATTATCTCCTTTTCTATTCAACTTCATCATAGATGTGTTAATGGACTTAACCCTAGGTGACTTCAGCGATTCAGGGATTGACTTGCTACCTGGGAATAATCTCGTTGACTTGGAAT